AATTATTAGTTTATGAAATTGTAAAATTAATTACAATAATAAAAATAATTAAGAAAAATATAGATATTTATTTACTTTAAATTAGTAAACTAAAATAAGAAAAAATCTGTTATTTTTTATAATATTTTATTTATGTGTATAGCTATTTATTCAATCTGACAACCGGTTTGATGCCAATTCGACCCCGATTCAACTTTTTGACCATTGACTCTCTTTCTTTTTCGGGTCGATACCTGGATCTATTTTTAAAACATTGGTTGAAATCAACTTTTTTTTTAAAAAATTTTCCAATTCTTAAACATGTTTAATAATTATAAAATTGTCAACTTTTTTTATGTTTTGAATTTACTTACTTTTTTAATCTAAATTTATTTATTCTAGTGACAAATAATATGCCATAAAATTACCGACTCAATTATTTACAACAAATCGGATCAAATTAATATCGGATCAGATTGACATATATCCATAATTGATCCATTTAGTTAGCGGATTATCGGATTCGGAGTTTGATCGAGTTATCGGACTGAGACCCCTCGACCCCCGCAACCTGACTGGGTATTTCAATCTCGTTCTTTCGGAGGCTTTGCCCCCAAGCCAGAGTAAAGCTTCGCCGTTTCTTGTTATAAGCGAGTTACGTTTTGGTCGAGGTTGACATGAAGTCACACTTTCTAATGCTTGATTTTCGATTCTTAACTAATCTTTCTCGTGTTTTAAACCAATTTTCCAATAATATGTTGGTCGTTACAGCTGTTAGAATAAATAACAAGCTTTGTCATATATCTAAGATTTCCTTATAAACTAAAATGGAATCTTGAAATTAAGTAGAGGAAATTCTTGTAATGTTTTCATTTGACAACTTTGAATGAAATGCATTGTGTTCATGTAAATGTATTGTCTCAATTCTGTAGGACGAGGTAGAAGCAGAGATGAGAAGGTTGAAGCAAGAGCTTAAACAGGCAATGGAGATGTACAACTCAGTCTGCAAGGAAGCATTTACTGCAAAACAGAAAGTAATGCATGAAAGTTCTGAAGATTAAATTCGAATAGAAGTTAATTATCCTCTAAATAATGAAATGAAATAATGAAATAACAAAAGGATATTAAGCAAAAGTTCGATAATAACATTTTTTGCAGGCACTGGAGCTTCGCCGCTGGAAAGTAGAAGAACAACAGAGACTAGAAAAGGCCCGACTGGCTGAGGGAGCAGCATTAGTAATTGCAGAGAAGGAGAAAGCAAAATGCAAATCAGCTCTTGAGAAGGCTGAAGCAGCGCAGAGGATAGCTGATCTTGAAGCACAGAAAAGAATCGATGCTGAAACGAAAGCGCTCAAAGAATCAGAAGAGAGGAGGAAAGTACTAGATAAGTCGGTCCAAAATGATGTAAGGTATCACAAATACTCAATACAAGAGATTGAAGCAGCAACAGACTCCTTCTCTGAATCTCGTAAAATTGGGGAAGGTGGTTATGGACCAGTCTACAAGTGTTACCTAGATCATACACAGGTCGCTGTAAAGGTTCTTCGTCCTGATGCTGCCCAAGGAAGATCACAGTTTCAGCAAGAGGTGTAATGCTCCTAAACATTCATTTGAACTTGTAAAATTACCAACTTCTCTCTTGGTAACACGAGCTTGTGCACTGTTGGCCTGTTTAGTATATATATTCCTTAATTTTCTTCCCTTCTTTTTGAATACCATGGTGCAGGTTGAAGTTCTGAGTACTATTCGACATCCCAACATGGTTCTCCTCCTTGGAGCATGTCCCGAGTATGGTTGCCTAGTCTACGAATATATGGCAAATGGGAGCTTAGATGATCGTCTCTTTCGGCGTGAAAACACTCCAGTACTTCCATGGAAACTTAGATTCCGAATAGCTGCAGAAATTGGCACTAGCCTGCTTTTCCTCCACCAGACCAAACCAGAACCTCTTGTACACAGAGATCTAAAACCGGGCAACATTTTGCTCGACCGTAATTTTGTAAGCAAGATCAGTGATGTTGGCCTTGCCAGGCTTGTCCCTCCTAATGTTGCTGACTCTGTTACACAGTGCCATATGACATCTGCAGCCGGAACTTTCTGCTACATAGACCCTGAATATCAGCAAACTGGAATGCTTGGAATAAAGTCTGATGTTTATTCACTTGGAGTTGTACTTCTTCAAATAATAACAGCTAGGCCTCCGATGGGATTGACACATCATGTTGAGACGGCTATAGAGAATGGGACTTTTGCTGATATGCTCGATCCATCCATTCCTGATTGGCCTATAGAAGAGACCTTGAAGTTTGCCAAGCTAGCTCTTAAGTGCACAGAAATGAGGCGCAAAGATAGACCAGATCTTGGCAATGTGGTATTGCCTGAACTTAACATGTTGAGAGCACTCGCTGAAGAAACAATTCCAAACATCACATTGAGTAATAGTCCACAGGGCAACCGAAGTCAGAGCCAATCTAGTTCTCAAGTGAGTTCATCATGTAAATAAGTTGCATCATGCATGAAAAAACAAAACAAATCCACGGAATTTCTCCCATTCTTATGTTCTATTATTCGGGAATTGTTTAAAGAGCCATTTTTTCACAATCATAGCTGAAAAAGGCCTACATACATAGTTTTTCGTTTAAAATGCCTTGTTTTGTGCTAGAAAGTCAATTTTAGTCTTATAAAATAAGGCATTCATCAATCTCTTCCCCGTCTTACCAGAACCTGAGGTTAATACGGAGGTTCGACGTGAGTTTAGGTCAGATAAGAAAAGATATAGCAAAAGACATTCTTTTGAATAAAAAATATATTATCCACATGAATCCGCCATCATACCGTTTACCTAGTAATATCTATTATAATTTCAAACTAAATTTCTTTATATGGTCTAATCCGGTGCACCAAATGTAACCTGAGAGCGCCTCGAGAGGTCCCAAGTCAATGCAAATGGGGGAGGAGGAGTGGGGCAAAATGAGGGGGAGAGAGGCATTAGCAGGGGGCTGCATAAGAAAAACAGTGTGCGAGGATGAGGAAGACGAAGCTGTTAATAGAGAAAAAAAAATACTAGTTACATAATTTTGAAAAAGAATGTTATATTTCACTCTCTATCCTACTCTATCCTTCCAAGAGAATGAATTGTGATTTCACATTGCAAAAAGATCGCATTCAAACTTGATTAATATGTTTGTACGTGACAAACTGTGAATTCTCAGAAGAATTGATTCGATAAACTGTGAACCCATAACAAGCTATTTAACAACTTTTTGCAGGCGAATGATCCTCAAAAGCACAAAAAACTCCTATAGTATTTGTTTCAAAATTCTTGGAATTAAATGGATCATGCAGTTATACATTCAGACGTAAAAAAAAAAAAAAAAGTAAAAGTAACATGCTCGCAAAAATCCAAGATCAATCGGCCCCTTGCCTTCCTACTCTGCAAGAGTCGAGAATATCTAGTGGCTTCGTTTGATTAAAGTATAACATCTTATTAAAATCAAGCCCCTGTTTGTCTATCATTATTTTAAAATTCTTTTTTTTTTCAAACTCATTTTCGACCATGCATTCTCGCCATAAAATATTTTGCACGTAAAATCGAAACTTGTTTCTACTTTTAACCTCACATTCTCCAAAAAAACTCACTATTTAAAAATTTATTTTCCTACTTTATTGGTAGACAAACAGGAACCAAATCATATTAATTCTTCAAATAGTAATAAAAATATTACTATTATATGCATTATTCATCAGATAATTAATTATTTAATTATTTCACGCATTATCCATGAATCCAGATAAATGTTCCAAGCGACGAATAGGGACGGATCCAAGACCGAATTACAAGTCGGGTTAATACGTAAAAAAAAATTATATGTGATTTTTTTTTTTACATTAAATTTTTTTTTTCCTAACTAAAAAAATCAGTGGGTGGGGACTGGATCGGGCTACAACTCGGCCCCCGCATCCGTCCCTAGCGACAAGCAATAGTCACAATACAAAATGCAAAATAAAAATGAAACAACGTAAAAGATACTGTTTCTACAGAAACTAAAAAGAAAAAAAAAAGGTTTCGATGTTCTGCAAAATTACCTTAGGCGCTCATCAAGTTAAGGGGAACGACAACCAAAGACTTCAATCCAGCATTGCTTCCCTTACCAGCCGGTTTGAAGGGTGAGCATTTGGGCACCTTTCTTGTAAGAATAATGATATTTATTATTATAACAATGGAATATTGGTCATCTGATAGTCTATTGAAAAATAATGAGATCGGACAGTTCAATTTCCACGAGAGAGAGAGAGAGATAGAGGGAGGGGGGAGGGGTAGAGGAAGTTAGAAATGTGGAGGATAATGATTGTCACATCAATATTCCATCATTACGACTAGTCTTCTTGTAAACCCATTTACACAGTGAGTTTTCTACCCAAATTGAAGTGGTTGTTATAAATATTGATTTTAAAAAGTTCAATACAGTTTTAAGCTTGAAATTTGGCATTTCACATTTTAAAATTTCACTCATAAAAACTTAAAATTTGATTTTTATTGTCTAATCAAGCTTTATACATTTTAGCCACGCTTTATGATTGATTTTAACACTTAACGAATAGAAATTGATTAAAAAAAAAGTTATTTCAGATTATTTTCAAGTGTTTTATGGGGAACAAATTTAGCTCATATTTGTCTCCCTTTTTTTCAAAATTATTTTTCTCTTAAATTTATTTTCAACCAGAAGTTTACATAATAAAATATTTTACACGTAAATTCAAAAAAAATTCATATTTTAACCACATATTTTTCAAAAAAAAAAAAATCACTATTCCAAAATAAAATCATTTTTCCCTCTAAAACTCTTTAGAAGGGGAGACAAATATGAGCTTAATTTTGGATTTTGATAATTAGTCAAAAGCATAGTTTTAAAATCGAACAAAAAAAAAAAGGTTAAACCCCAACCTTGAGGGTCCCCTATCGAGCCGCCCGTAGAGCATTGTGGACGAGGTAAATCGAGAGATGTGTCTCAGCAAGCTAGGGTACAAGAGCTGTCATACTGGTGCCCACAAAGAGTCCAATTACATACTTCGAAACAGGCCGGAATCGAACCCTCACACTGTGGTTGCCAGCTCAACTGAGACTATATCACTCATGTCTTTTGCACCACTGAACTATGTCCCGGGGAGATTATTGAACGAAACTACCTCAACAAAGAAGTGGATTATTGAGTAAATGTTTTAACTGTTGTAAATTTCAATTTTACATATCATAAGTCCATGTTTGTCTACCATTTTTCAAAATATTGTTTTCTACAGTAATCAATCTCCTCCACACATTCAAATAATAAAATATTCTAGACATAAACCGATAAAGTTTCTTTCAATTTTAACCACACATTCTCCCAAAAATACTATTCATTACACCATTTTCATCACAATAATGGTAGACAAATAGGCACTAAATTGTGTTTAAACATACAATAATTACGTGTAAAATAGTTAAATATCACAAAATGTTATTTTATTAGAGTCGTGGCTATATATATATATTTGTAACCACTCATTCTCGCAATAAAATAATTTTGCACGTAAATCTAAAAAAAAATTCTTTTTAATTGCACACTTTTTTTTACCAAAAAAAAAAATCATTTTACGAAATTTATTCTCAAAAAATCCCCACTAGACATGGACTATTGATGACTAAGCCCCTGTTTGTCTACTATTAATTCAAAAAATTGTTTGCTACATTTCAATTTTAACCACACATTCTCCCAAAAATACTATTCATTACACCATTTTCATCACAATAATGGTAGACAAACAGGCACTAAATTGTGTTTAAACATACAATAATTACGTGTAAAATAGTTAAATATCACAAAATGTTATTTTATTAGAGTCATGGCTATATATATATATTTGTAACCACTCATTCTCGCAATAAAATAATTTTGCACGTAAATCTAAAAAAAAAAATTCTTTTTAATTGCACACTTTTTTTTACCAAAAAAAAAAATCATTTTACGAAATTTATTCTCAAAAAATCCCCACTAGACATGGACTATTGATGACTAAGCCCCTGTTTGTCTACTATTAATTCAAAAAATTGTTTGCTACAGTAAGATTCTCCACCACAAATTCACCCAATAAAATATTCTACACACAAATCAATAAAATTACTTTAATTTTCAACCACACATTCTCCAAAAAATACTATTCATTACACTAAGCCCACGTTTGACACCCATTAATTTCTCTTTCTTATTTCCATTTTCATTCTCATTCTTCATTTCAACCACACAATTTCCAAATAAAATAATATTACACACAAATCAAAAACTTTTCATCACTTTTCCACCACACATTCTTACATCAATTACTATTCTAAAATTTCTATTCTCTTCAAAATTATATTCAAATATACCCTAATTTTCTCCCAATAATGAGAGACAAACAAGCTGTAAGAGTTGTTGATTTCAAGTCGTCGACTTATCGAGTCAATATAATTTTTCGTGGATCAATATCTCGTTTAATTAATTTAGAGAGCCGATTCTTAAGTTCTTGGGTCGACTTGGCAGCTAATCGGTGTCAGTTTTTACTCAAAGCTCAAAGGAGACCGTTTGTAATTGCATGTTTTGGGGCGGAGCTCCGGAATAAATATCTTTGAAGGGGCAAAATACAATTCACCCAAAAGTAATGCGCCAATTAATATTATTTGCAAAACATGAGGGACCAAACTGTTAATTCTTACATTTATTCGCCTCCGTCTGCTTCTTCTGCACGAAAACTTCGTTTTTATTCGCTGCTCTTACTTATCCCCTTCTCATTCAGGTTTTCTTCTGCTAAATCACTCCAATTTAGTTCGATCGATCGATCGATCTGCACAGAACCACATCATGGACGTGAGCACAGGCGATATCGATGCCCCACACTCGATGGGAACCACAATCATTGGCGTCACCTACAACGGCGGGGTTGTTCTCGGAGCCGACTCTCGCACCAGCACCGGTAACTCCATTTTTCAACTATTTGTTTCTTCCCGAATAAATTTATTGTGATTTTAGTATATAAGATATTTGATTTAAGTTTTGCATTTTTGTGTTATTTTGAAATTTTGGATTTTTATTTTGCAGGAATGTATGTGGCGAACAGGGCATCGGATAAAATCACGAAGTTGACTGATAATGTGTACGTGTGTCGTTCAGGCTCGGTATGAATTTATATATCTGGCTTTTGTTGTTTGTCTTGTTTATGGGGAAAGTAAATGCTGTTGCGAGGTTTAACTGTGAAAAGCCATGAGGGGAAATCTGAGAATGTTAAATTGAATATTCCTTTCTTTTCGAATATTATTTTCTCCATGAAGAGGGTATGCAGGATAGCCATTGAAGCTAGATTTTATAACAGAAGAAAATACGAAAAGAAAAATGTACTCAAAGCTCTTTATAAGGAGCTTTTTTGCACTCCCATACATGCTCAAAATTTGAGAGGAGAGTGCTAATGTTTGTGCACAGTGAACCGTGCATAAAACAATCTATTAAACAATTTTACCTGCCTGGAAGGAACTTCTGGATTATATTTTACTGTTTCTAGTAAAGAATACTCTTAACACATTACTCTTTCAGTTATTTTGATTGCTAAAAAGCTGGTCAACCCTGATCAAATTTCATTTTTAACCACACTCCGTCAAAAATAGATTTTGGGGGAAAATGTTTTTGGAATAGTGATTTTTTTGTAGAATGTGTGGTTAAAATAATTAGGAAAATTTTTGGGTTTACGTGTAATATTATTTTAATGGAGAATGTACGGTTGAAAATAAGAAAGAGAAATGCATTTTTATTTTATTTTTTTGTCAAAAATGGAGCCCAAACAGGGGATTTATTGGATCTCAACTTTTACCCACTTTTTCACAACACATTTCATGGACCACCACCAACTTTAATCAAGTTTTAACATCACACAGCCTCTAATAGGCAGCTTGATTCTGAAATGGCTTGTCCTGTCCTTCATGAAAATATGCCATAATTCTCTCCGCTTGCCTGCTTTCCTTGATTTTATCTTTTATCTGGACCTTTGGCATCAAATAGTTTTACTGTCCTTTTATAAATTGTGTACGGTTGAGGGCAGCCAGGAAAATAGTTGCCAACTGTGTGGCTTCATGGCTGTGAATCAACTGAAATTCTTGAAGCTTTTAGATTTCGCTGGCATAATAAGGCAAACCATGATTCTTATAAAAGAACAGGTTTTAGATTTATTTTTTCTAAGTCTTGGTTGAAGATATAGACTTACTTTACCTTGCAAATGTTATCAGAGATAATTCCAGTAGGCATGTAACCATAAAGTTAAGGACTAAACTCTTAAATAGTGGAGCAAGCAGGAACCAATTAGTTGAACAATCTCTTCTTTTTTCCAAAATGTTTTGTGTGTCTTCCTTTTCTTGAGTAACACATTTTACGATGTTACTTTATCAGGCTGCAGATTCACAGATTGTTTCTGATTATGTCCGCTACTTTCTCCATCAACACACGTAAGTAGATATTTCTGCATTACTATCACTTACTTTGCAATCCACGTGCAGTTTTTCATTGTATGATGACATTAGCTAAATATTACTATAAGCCCTCGTTTGATCTACATTATTATCTCATTAAAATGAAAAATATGACCGTTATCCACAACAATATTTGAATTCAAATTTTTTATCTTTTATGTGAGCCCCAATAACAACTATATTTTTCATTCTCATTCTACAATAATTTGGCTGAAGCAGGACCTAAATAAAGCATTCGGCATGCACCTTTAGGTTCCGAAGTTAAATCATAGTTTCTCCTTTCTTATGATGTGCATACTTGAAGGGCCCATAGAGAATAGCCCCTACAGACACAATCTATTAATCGTTCCATCTCTGCTTTCCCAAAAAAGAAAAATCAGGTTTATCCTATTATCTTTATGCCACCTGTATTGAACTCAATCATCACATTATGGTTACACCACACCATCCGACGGTTGATGTTACCACTCTAATTTTAGATATGAAGGGCCCATAGAGAATAGCCCCTACGGACCCCATCTATCTATCGTTCCATCTCTGCTTTCCCTAAAAAGAAAAATCAGGTTTATCCTATTATCTTTATGCCAACTTTCCCTCTATTTCCTCATAGACCCTGAACGCAGCTTCCCTCTTGTAAATGCCGAATTCCCCACTTAGGACGGACGGGATTCCCCTCATAAGGCTGGCTCAACTAAATCTGATAGTAGTAGTCTCTGTCGACGTCAGTGGTGATGTCTCTTCTTTTTAAGTACTCCCCAAAGTCAAGTTGATTTATCTTTTGCTGCCTTAACTTGCATCCATTAAAAAAAAGGAGCATTCTTTTACACGATAGTTTACTTTCCAAGAAATTTTTACATTTTCGGACTAGTGGTTTTTGTTTGTACCAAGATTATATCATGTAATTTTCTGCAAGTGTGCTTTTATTCTGTTGAAGTCATAATTGGTGTACTCGGCAGAGAAATATTCTCAACTTATGCTTCAGATAAATTTACATAAAAAATGTGGAGTTGTGATGGCATGCTTGTTGATGCAGGATACAACTTGGGCAGCCTTCAACCGTCAAGGTCGCTGCAAACCTTGTCAGATTGTTGTCTTACAGCAACAAGGTTTGTATAATTTTTTCGTTTAAAAAGTCTGAAATCTACATAAACTCCGCGGTTCAAAACTGAGTTCAACATGGGGAAAAGTGTCAGCCTCATTAGTCATTTTCGTATCAATTTTGTTAGTTTAGTATGTGGAAATTGAATCTGGAAATCTGAATTCATTATGTTGAGTGGTGGATACTATCTCTACGACCTATATCTCGCACTTTCGAAATTTTATTTGGTTTTTGTACGCCTTGTTACCACAAGAGTGATACCAGATATATGCTGCACCATTGTTGGGTTTTCTATAAGATGACAGAAGACAGGAAACGCATAGCTTTCCAATTCCATTTTTCTCGCCTACCGTCAATAACTTCAGTAGCTAGTCCGGTAATGGAGAAAATAGGTGAATAATTGATTTCAAAATGGCAGTAAAGAATATTAAAAATATATATATATTTTCCTGGAAAAGTTAATTAGTGCAAGAAAAGTTTTATAAGGGATAAATGCAGTATTTCAAATGACCATAATTGATACAAGCTAGAGATAATATCATTTTGCTATCTTTGTAGGGTATAAAAGTTTCTCGATAATTATTCTCTAAAGAAAAATCAGTCTGTTTGGATTAAAATTTGTAGCGTGAGTTCGAAAGTCTGATATGAAGTTTAATGCACTAGTTTTTTTCATAAGCAATTAATTGAGCTATTGACCTGAATTTGAATATTAGAATTCATACCGCTAATTTCTCCTTTTAGTAGTACTGCCAATGCTGTAAAATTTTCTCTTGCTTCCTTCATCACTGATTGCCAACTTAAGTTAATATGAAGTTAAATATAGAAGGGATAAGTATGACCATGAATGTGAAAAAGATAGAAATGGGTCACAAATATCTGCTGTAACATTAACTGATTCTTTAGGAGAGATATTTTCAAGTGAAAATGAATTTTTTTTTGGAGAATGTGAGGTTGAAAGGTAGGAAAACGTTATGGGTCCCATAGAATGTGGTTGAATATGATTTTGGGGAAAAATGATTTTTAAAAAATCTCCCCCGAACAAGCTCTAAATTTTATTTTGACAAAAGTTTGCTCATCTTTTTTTATTTTAGAGTTGTAACATAATTTCAAAACATAGAGGTCACGACCAGTTCCTTGCTTATCCTAGTTCCTATATCAATTTCTACCCGTGCAGTTGAAATAGTTTTCTTCAGTCCCTTTATTGTTTTTACTTTGGGCTGAAGTTATCTTTTCCTAGTTGAAGAATCTACATAGTGCCAGTTATCGTGCAACCTAAAAAGATACACAACATAGGAAGTTCATACAGATTTTGAATGTGTTTGGGTAACTAATAGGTTACTTATAATCTCCTTATAATGCAAAAAATAGTGTCCCACTAAATGTGTGGATAGCAGTTGTGATTTGTGAATGTGTGGTTAAAATTAAAGTTTGACCTTGACTTTACGTTATGCTCCAGTTTGAGTCCCATTATCCAAAACTCTTTTTTTTCTCCAAACTAATTTTTAACCACGCATTCTCCCAATAAAATAATTTCACTTGTAAATCCAAATCTTTCCCTACTTTTCAACTACAAATTTTCCGAAAAAATCACTATTACAAAATTTGTTTCTCAAAAAATGGAGCTCAAACACTGCCTATAAGTAACTTATAAGTAACTTGTAAGGAAACACAAACACACTTTATATTTAATTATTCAGTTTTCTCTAATACTTCCTTAACAAGCTCAACTTTTTTGGGGGATTATATGGGGAAAATAGACATACAAATGGTTTGTCAGTTATTTGTTATACTATGCTTTTTTGCATTTATTTTACTCTTATGCCTTTTACTAGGTCTGAGCAATGTGTTGGAGTTAGTAGTATTTTTTCTTTTTCTTTTTCTTTTTTATTTTGTGATAGTGAATCCACAAGTATATTGACTTTGCAGAATATGCTACAAACTGGTCTCATTATTGGTGGATGGGACAAATATGAAGGTGGTAAAATATATGGAATACCTCTGGGAGGGACTATCTTGGAGCAACCTTTTGCTATTGGAGGTGTGACTTTCCTATCCTTTTATTATAGAGTCAGTGAGTCACACTGTAACTTCACGATTTGTTAGCGTTGCCTAGTCTTTTGGGAAGTTCCTATCTGTTTAACCAATAGCAGTCTTATTCTTTCTCAGCTAGTATCAGGCTTGTTGCTTTAGCTTACTGATATATACTGTTGTTTGTAAAGTTTTTGAACCTAATTTTTCTGTTATTTATTGGCTGTGGATTTTGACAGTGTTAGATGGTATTGTGGAGGTAGTAAACTGGTTTTAGGAAATAGGAATGATAATTGCAACTAATACTTTTGGTAGTTGTAAATTTTAACAAAGGAGCTCCCCATTGGGTAGGTCCAGTTCTAGACGACAACCAGACCAATGTAGAGGTTGTTTGTAGTTGAACCAAGTTTTTAAAATCCCTTTCAATTTTTTGTCATATTTCGAGGATAATAGAAACATATATGTATATTGCTTCGTGTGATAACTATATCTAATCACCAAATAGAAAATGTGTTTGTGTATACAGTGAAACTTCACAAACTAATTAGAATTGTCTCAGACCTGATTGGGTCCAAACTTAAGATTGTCAGTTTTCCACCCATCTCTCTAATCCTGATTGACCCACATCCAGAGGGGATCCAGTGCTCGCTATAGAACGGGGATGCTACTCCTCTTGGATAAGAGAGATATGCCCATCCTATGTAGAGACTTTCTAAGGATCTTTTTATCGATAATTTTCTGGTTGTTTCGCTTTAAATTAATGATGAACATTCTGGTACTCACTTTCGATTCGGCGTGTTAGTTTTCTATCATCTAAAGGGTCGCTGTTTTACTTGTCCAATGACAGTCGGCTGTCATCTCAAAATATTTTTTGACAACTTGTTATTTTCAAGTTACAAACTAATTGGTTAGTGGTTCGTCTCGTGGTTGAGGGAAACAATTCTTGACAATTGTTCTTTTTTACATTAGGATCTGGCTCTACGTACTTGTACGGGTTCTTTGACCAGGCATGGAAGGAAGGGATGACCAAAGAGGAAGCTGAGGTTTGTATATTGTAATTTTTATATATGTGCAATATTATTAGATTTCCTACTTATAAGGGTTCAGGAGCATGTCCTCTCGAGTATGTCAAGGTCTAGTATTTTCCAACTATTCTGTTTGAACAAGTATATAATCTATGTTACATCTGTGGGGACACTGGTTTGATCTATCTATTCTGGGTAAGAGGGGTTGTCGCCTCCAGAGAACCTACACCTGGAAGGGGTTGCTTTTGAAGCTTACATACATTGATTTGCTTCTGATCTTTGTGGTTTTCATCATATGATTAAGATCTCCTCAGATCTGTCTTGTTTTCATAGGAAGTTATGGAAAAATATACAAATTATTTTCCTTGTTGGTCTATAGATATTTCAGTAACTGTGGGCACGATTAGCATATGGATTGGCTGACTGCTAATTTTGAATCTTCCTCTGTCCCTGTAGCAATTAGTGGTGAAGGCAGTCTCTCTTGCTATTGCTCGGGATGGTGCTAGTGGCGGTGTTGTTCGGACAGTGACTGTAAGTTAACTTTACTGCTTATGTATTATATATTCTCCCACCTGGTGAATCTCCAGCATTCTCCCGATGTTGATGTTGGACATGAACTTCAGATCTTTCCTTTATTCTTGTTGGATTTTTGTGGTTTGCAATAGCCTCTGCATTGAGTAAATTTTGTCTTTACTGTGAAGTAGTGTATGTGTTGGCTGATGAATATGTATGGGCATGTTTGGCTAAGCTTTAGAAGTTTAATTACTAGTAAATAAGTGAGTTTTAAGCTAATCCATATTGCCTTATGTAATCGCAGATTAACTCAGAAGGGGTCACAAGGAAGTTTTACCCATGCGAGAAGCTGCCTCTGTGGCATGAAGAGCTGGAGCCTCAGAACTCACTGTTGGATATTTTGTCAGCAGGCAGTCCTGAACCTATGATCAGTTAGATTATGATTTTACTTGGCCAAAATGTTAAACATAACTGGTAGTTGGAAACACTCAGATTGCATGGGATGACTGTAATGTTTTTTTCTTGAAGTACTTTGCTCGTTCTTACATCAAATTTCTGTTTCAGTAGTTGAAACTTGAATGCGTCCAATAGCTTTGATTTACTCATCGACATATAGCAAGAGGACCTTACTGACTTTTGGCATATTTAAGAAAAATTCATATACTATGGAAACAGAAGATGTGCACATTAACAGTAGCGTTCTAGCCATTGAAATTGTGTATACTGATGTGCAAGTTACTTTTGAATAATGCTTTTTGTGCAACCATGGATAACAGTGTAGCTGACAGTGTGTTGGCAAAAAACTATTGGTTGTAAAAGCAATTTTTTGTTAAAACTGTCCAAAGGCAAAATGTCACGTGACATTCTTCAACAAAGGTGTCGACTATGATTGTACACCAAGCATATAATTGGTTACTTTATATTATGAAAACCAAGGGGGTATGGATTCTTCTTTTTTTCTTTTTTAAGATGATTAAAAAGAAACTGTGTTTCTGATATTCATCTCTAATTCTATTCTCAGTTATAGCATTACACGTATTAAAAATTACAATTTAAAGATGTCATTCATTATGTTCAAGATGTTTAAAAATAGAGGAACTCTTGAAGATGTCCTAACAATGCAGATTCATAGGCGAAGGCATGGAAGTTTCTAACGATGAAAATGGAATAGTTTTATTCACAAATAAGCGCCATACATACATGATAATATTTTCAACAAAGCAGGAAACAAAATAAAAAGATTGCTAGTCAAAAAATTTCGAGCTACCAGCCGAAAAGAAAAAGGAAATGCCACCACCACTAGTCTGAACTCATTCGAGGAGATTTCATTGACTGAAAAATGTAGAGACGTCTGTACACTCGAAAAACTAACTAAATCATACAGATTTCAGCTCTTTCTTGCTACAAGTACAATGTACTTTAGTGGCGATAATTTCTTTACAGGAGAGAAAAAGAGAGGTAAATAAAAAATTGTCAGATTATTCTCATAACAAGCAATTTCCAGCCAAAAGCGTTAATCTGTACCGGGCTTGGTTGTCCATAGTACAAGAAACAACCTCTGTCTACATTGATCTCGGATGGCTTTTACAGTAATCCCTGGATGAGTGAGCAGAACCCGGAAATGGCAGAAATTTGGCGAGAGGAACAAACTTCCACTGCGTATCGTTGTTAAGTTTCCAAAGTGGAATTTCTAGCTAATTTACACCATTGTCTGAACTGCTACAATCTTGATTTTGAAGGATTCTGTTCCCAAAATCTCCATCCAAACTCATTTGTTGGACTTCTTGAGGTGAAAGGATCTTGATGCAGCGTGCGCAGTTCACGAATTCCCTGAAAACCGACAAAGACCATAAATATTTATTATAATACTGGCATTTTCCCCGAAGAAGCAACCATTTGAATATGCTACAAAAATTTGAAGTAAAAAGAACAAAGAACTTTTTAAGTACATGATATCCTGGTCTGAAAAGCACATATTTTTCTTCAAATTGATAAAGAAAGTTGAATAGGATGATTTTGAAGACTTACTCCCAAGGATCATCCCCAACCAGCAGGACGTCATTCTCATGATCCACATACACAAGTTTCCAACCGATTCTCTGCCGGTCCTCCAATTGCCCCTCTATGCCAAATCTGCGAGCCAGATCTTGTTTAAGATCTTCATAACCCAAGTAACGTGCGATATCGATTGATCTGCCGACAGCTCCACGCTTGTACACCTTCACAGTAACATTCTTGCCAAGTTAGGCCTCAAAACATGAAGGAAAACAGAACAGGTATTAAATATATTCACATCTTTATAACATTGAGCATGATCAACCTTTGTAAACGTTCGCATTCGAGGGATCTGTGGTGGTGGAGCCCATGCTCCTCCGTTCATGAAGCTGCTGTCTTTTATTGTGGAATCAATTGAATTGAATGTCATATCTGGAACTCCAAATGACTGGGAAACCATAGATGATGCAAGTTCAGGATGAGTTTCCTTGGGGTTTTCATAAGTGGAAACCATCACTCCAGACGAGAGATTATTCGAGAAATCACCTGATCCCACCATAGATTTTGTGATCAATGGGTCAGGTATTATGGGCAAGCCTAACTGGTTGCCACTGTTAGCCCCAAAAGGAACGTTGTTGTTCCTTCGATCACCCTGAAGTTCCCTATCCTGACTTGTGGCTCTAAACAATATTGACTGAGAATTCAAAGATGCAGAGTTGTTATGCAGTGTGTGGGCATCGTTTTGAGAAAGAACCGATGTTGCTGAAGATGAACTATCCAGATAATCTATATGGGTTCCAGCAGCATTGAGGTATGTTTGTGTTGCAAAATATCCTTGGTTCTGACTTTTGGATACGTACTCTGAAGGCTTAATGTCAGGCTTTTGCTGCAAATCTTTAACTAAGTTACCATTAGAAGAAACGTTATTTACGCCCGTTGAACTCAACAGAGTGGCGGAATACTGAGCCATCTCGTCCCCTGTTATTGTGCTTTGGTTGTTTCTGCCATTCATTGTAGACTGAACTGCACTTGGACAGTTGTTAGTGGATGGTGAAGTCGAACAAGAAGGAACCTCATCTGTAATCCCAGATTGACCTCCAACAGCAGCTCCTTTCAACAAACTGCTATCCCCTGCGGAAAGCTGGTTGTTCATTGGGTTGGAAGTGTTTCCCACAAATCCTGGAAATTCTGATTGTGTTCCAGATTGTTGATGTTGCTGAAGTTTTGGATAGGCAAACTGGAGATTGGTTTGGCTATTTTTTCTGGTCATCTGCTGTGGAATAACATGTGACTGGGGGAGCATAGTCGATTTTGATTGAGATGCCTCAGGCAGTTGGTCTGTCATAGACCAAAAAAATTTCTGGGAAACGTCTAAAGGCAGCTTCTGCTGATCCTGGTGTTGTGTCAGTTGGGAAGGTTGTGGTATTGCAGACTGCTGTGATGAAATTGATTGTTGTTGCTGGTGGAGTTTCTGTAAAAGTTGAAGCTGTAATTGGTTCTCAGGCGCATGAAGCTGTTGACTTACATGATCCAGGGATTGAAACGACGTCAAATCCTGCTGCTGGACATGACTCGGATTCTGCTGCTGTTGAGGCAAATTTTGTGGAAGACTTCTCTGAAGCTGATTATTAAGAATGGATTGTTGCTGCTGCAGAACGTTCTGAGCTTGGATCGGATTCTGTGATTGCAGAAGTTGTGCCTGAACTTGGCTTGTTGATAAAGTTTGATTCATTGAATTTTGTCTTGGTGGTTGCACAGTGTCAGTAAACTGCTGTTGTGTCTGTATAATCGACACCAGAGGGTTCAATGTGGATGCTGGGGGCTTTTGGAGCTGATCTAGTTGTATGGATTGGGCTTGCCTCGGGGTATTGAACTGTAAGTTGTTAGGTTGAGGTGCAGGGAAACCTAATTGATGCGAAAGATCTGCACCGGAAAAGTTTTGCAGAATGGAACTGGATAAAGGATTCAAACTGTTTGGCTGCATCGAGTTAGCTAGAGAGGGGTTTTGCTGCATGTTCATCCACTGAACTAAGCTCATGCCGGGCAGAGCTTGAGGATCCTTCGTGCCAAAGCCATCTCCAAGCCAGGCCATCGTCCTCCTGAATAGATTATTGGGATCAGACAAGTCGTCATCTGCAAGGAGAAACATAATAAATATTACTCTTTTCCGAATGGATAAATGAATCGTCTTATTGCATCCTCTTTTCCTATTACCTGGCATTCCCAGTTGCCTTGGGCGCTTTGAACAAAAGAGAGGCGTGGAGGGGCAGATGAAAAATGGAGCAGTTACAGGCTCAATCTCCCAAATAGAGACACGATTGCGCCTTTCTCCAGCAGTTGATTCATCCCATCCAACCTGGTTACAGAGGGTTTATCTACTTGAAATGTAGTAAATAATTACAGAAGGGCGGTATATTGCACTAATTTTACCTGCAAATTACGCCATTGGGAGTTCTTCCATCTGACTGGATCCAAATCACTGATACCAGTTATTGTGCCCATGTATCTGTAGAAAAAGCATCAGCTTAGATGAGTGGACGGTAAGATAAAAGAAACAATATAATTTTGATTTTCCATAATTTTTAAACACGCAAGTGAAATACAGCATATTAACGTAGCTTTTGCTACCTTCTTGTTCCTGATTCCTCAGTTTCAAACATCATGCGGAAGCGCATGCCAAGAGATATTTGGTTGCTGCAAACTGCTTTATAGTACTTGGCTAAAGGGATAACAAATTCTGATGGACTAGCCCTGCTCAGATTTGAAAAATATCTCAGTAACCTCGCATTAGCAGTAAGAAAGTTCAAGTAACATTGTCTCCAGTAAAACGTTCATGACATGAACAGATTATTCCGCTAGAATTAAGAAAGGTTGATGACCTTGGATTGTAAAACACAGTGAAAGGACTATTGTTTGCAGCAGCATGAGCTGCTGCCGCTAGAATCCCAATATGCATACTATCACTTGACAATACTGATGAAGATAAGTTGGTTGGTTGTCTGTTTGCCCGTCGGATGCCCAACAGAAGCTGTTGCTTCTCATCCCTGTTCACAAGCACGAGACTATTGACCATACCATTTTTTGGACAACCCTAAGACTAATTAAAAGCACATAATTTAAGGGAAAGAAGTAAAAGAAATCTTTCAAAAGCTTAGATCGACCTAATGAATAAAATTGAGTCGCCTGCGAAAAGCCTTTTCCCACTGACAAAAAGACTCCATCCAGTCGTAAGCAAGTGACGTTTTGGTTGCCCTGAGATATTAGATATTACAACCAATAAAGGAAGATGTAACTCTACCAGTAGCAGTAATGTAGCAGCGGAGTGAACTTACCTCTGTAAATATGGCGAAATGTCCATGCATTATTGTGCAAATCCCTAGCCACAAGCTCTTGAGCAGGTGGTTGCATTGTGAAATCCTAAATAAACGAGTATTCTTCTACGTGAGCTGTAAATATAAAGATGGAAGTAGAGAAGAGGATTTTGAAAGAATGATTCATCTTACGAACCAGAGAAGGAAAAGTCTTTTCTGCTGCACGGCGAGGTACAGAAAAACCACCATGAGTGCTAGTATCACTTGCGGTTAAGTTTTTGCAGAAAAACTCCATTTGAGGTTTATTTACTTTCATCGAAAGATCTGATCTCAATAAAGCATCCTTGTCAAACTGCACAGTAGACGAACACAAAGTCAATTTTCTATATCGGACTCTGTGGAGCCTAATTGTATTGTTCACTTTTCGCATCCACCAATGTATCAACCTAGTTCAATTATGGGGTATACTGGACAGTCATATCTTTGTATTAGGTCGGCCGAGTTTCCCACATTATGTAAAAGAATTCAATGGGCTCTTTTAAACTCGACTTGCAAAGATGCAAATAAGAGAAGGCAGTTTCACACTTTCACTACACTATAAATTCTTCAGTTAAAAGAGGTCCCCCACCGAAGGAACTGGTAGGAGTGTCATCTGTGCATAAACTTCATCCGTTTCCGGGTCAGCCTAAAAATTCACATGAAATAAGTTGCGTTATTATTGTCATGGAAATCGAGTTAAAATCATCGAGTTGTTGAAGGAAAAATGAAAGAAGCCAGGCAGCATACAAGCAAAGTGACATTGTGAAGAAGGCATAGTAACTTTGAAGGAAGATTTGGATAGCTCGGAATTTGTGCATCCACATCCTTTTTCATCGATGCAGCAACCTGAAAATGTAACTTTAGACATAAAATGTAAATTTCTCCAGTAGTTTTTATGAATACTAACTTCTGATAATATATTTGTTCAATTTACAGTCGTATTTTGACTTTACTAAGATATTTTATCCAAAAATTATAATCTTATCTTAGTCCATAAATTGTCGAGTTCAAGTCTCGGAATACGAAATAAATTTATCCTCTCTAGCATCATCGAGCAACGAACCCAACCCACCCAGCACAAGCGGGCAGGTAAACATGGTCCAATATATATCTCTTCCCTAGCTAGTTAGCTTAACCTTTGACAAAATCAAAAGGCACTCAATTTTCCAGATCATATGATCTGATTATTTAACCAAATAACAGATAATAAAAACTAATAAATACAAAAGCACGCATGTGCTTGTAATAAATAATAATGGAATTAAACCATGCATGTGACCAAATTATGCTACAGATTGAGCAAACTCAGCAACTGTCTTGTCTGTTACAAAGTGAATTTTAGGCCCAACGCACAATAATCGCACTAGAACGCACCAAAATATTGATACATACCATAATATACAATACGTACGTAGAGGTATAAATCGAGACTACACAATTCCGACCATCCTAGGGCATGATTAAATTATCTGGTTGTACCCGGCTCATGGACTTCGCCTATACAATTTCGCGTGTATGTCCGGTCGGCCCGTGGGACCGAGCCGGGAAGAAATTAGGCCAAGAGCGACTAGGCCTGTTTGTCACCCTTAACCAAGCACCAGGGCACGGTCCGTCACCAGTCGGACCGTGCTTTTCCTGTGGAGACTGGTCGACGCATTTTGACACGTTAAATGAAGCCAGTATTACTAGTCATGATAAGAAAAAGGACCTGCTCACTGTGGCCTTGAGGGAAGTAGACGACGTGGGTCCCAGCGACGGGCATGTTGATCAGAGGGCCGGCGCACGCTTGCCATAGCTCTGGGTTTATTACGCTCTTCTTATCCACTGCGATTAGCCATTCAATTGATTCCATTAAATAAAAAGCAAATATTTTTCTGACATTTATGATGCTTATAATGATATAAATAAATAGTACATTCATAGATATGTATAGATTTGTAGAGAGAGGGCGGGTGGGAAGTAAGACCTTCAGCTGCGTCTGAGGTAGATGTGGCTGCCGATTGAGCTCCGGCGCCGTTGGCCGGTGTCTTCATTATTGTTCTTGTATTAAGCTAAAAAAAAAAACAAGTGGGCAGAGTTTCTTAGCTGATATTCATACCGCCGGAGAAAAATCAGAGCTCCGATTTGACCCAAAGAAAAGACCCTTAAACTAGATCAAAGAGTCAGCTTTCTTTTCCGCTAAGAAAGGAAATTATTTTGTTGATCAAAATGTAGAGGCCAAAAGAAGAAAAAAATGAGTAAACTTTTCCGGTAAACTTCTCCGGGGAGATTTTTTACGGCGAAAATGAAAAGAGAGATAAAGGGCAGACAAAAGGGGCTTTGGAAAAGGAGGTGTGCTGAGTATATGATAGACCAAATGCTGCAGTTTTACTTTAAATTGCCCCCTCTCCCATAAACGCACAAACTCTCTTTCTCCCTCTATATCTAACTGTAAAAGCTCTCATTTGCAGTCAATCTCTTTCTTGTTTTTAGGACAAGGACCAGCCTCAAACTCTCATTCTACTCAAAGCTTTCACCTTTTTTATTACACATATTCTCTCTCTACGTCAAACACTTTCTCTCTCTCTCCAGATATATAGATAGATCATAGATACATGGTTATGCTGCCTGAAAAAGTTTTGTAGGGTAAATGTCCTAAACTCAAGGGGAGTGAATATTTGTTACGATCACTAAGTGGGAATATTATAATTTATTTGTTAATAATTAAGCTGTGGTTATCGTGCTTTTTACTTTATATTATTATTATCACGTCCACTCTCCACTGCATCGTTCCATTTATTTATATTTTTCTTTTCTTGGAATCAAATATTCCTTTCGTTTTTCCAGCCCTACTTGATTAGTTAAAATTCAAATTTTTAAGTATGTTTTAATAAAATTTAATGAAATATGTTAATATCAGACCTGCAATCTCATTAAATACAGTTTGTTATATGCATTAAACTCATGCTAATTTAAGATCAGGTATTTGAGGTTAGCTTGTAATAATGACCGTCGTTATTTGATGAGATATAATGATTAGAGATTTCTTACACACTGTTAAAACGTTCAATCAATCAATTACATTTGAATAGGCTCATTAAAGCACCTCCTAATTATATCAATCATATATTATAGGTTCATTCCCTAATTAGTTCATTAATTATTGGGGGCCACATGCAAGATAGATTCGTGATGACCTGTTGGAGCCTACCTTATCAATCAATCAATCAAAATATACCATTAAAGCACCTCCTCAGCTCGACGATGTGCATTGATTTGTAAGCAACCAATCAGGACAAGTCATCGTCACAAGTTCCCAACTCGGTACTGTAGCTGATAAGACAAGAACATGACGTATATATGCATATCCCTCCCTATAAAAAGAAGAAAGGTATCCTCAAGAAGTGAGAGGTTAACAACACTTCATACTTTAAATATCTCATTTGGGAAAAAAGGAAAACACTTGTAGTTTACTCTTGTCTATACAATTTTCGACGTCAACAAAATATATAATTGAAAAATTGATAAATGTTGTGAATTTCATACAATATGATTAAAAATGAGTTTTAAAGAATGAAAACCAAACAAGGGTTCTCTAATTTGTTATTTATTTTTTCTTTAATTTTTTATCATTTTTGTTGAAAAAAAAAATAATGCCATCAGATTTGTTGATTGACATATAATTTCTCGTCGAATGGATCGATGGTGAATTGCACATTATGCAAATATGCAATAAAAAAATTATTATTTTTCAATGAGTAACATAGAAGATATAATCACGTGATAATAAATTAAAAATACTATGTTGTCCACATATAGCCCATGTTTGATTCCAATTAAAAAGATTTATTTATGGGAATATTTCATAATTAAGAGATTTAGTTTTACCAATTTCAAATTTAAGAGATTGTGTTTAAAATTTCAAATCTCGAAATTTTTTAAATTTTATTTATAAATTAATTAATCAAATATATTAAGGTCACAATTCCATATAATTTGGTCACAAATTCCATATAATTGATCACATATTATTAATTGATCACAAATCACAATTTTTATATGTCACAAATTATTTTAGGAACAATTCAAAAATTTTATATGTCACAATTTTTTTATCGATCACAAATCAAAAATTTATATGTCACAAATTATTTTTACAATCACAATTCAAAAATTTTATAGGTCACAATTTGTTCATCGATCACAAATAAAAAATTTATACATTACATTTTATTTATCGGTCACAAATCACAAGTATTATAAGTCACAACTCATCATACAGTCACAAATTAATAATTTTTTAGATTGCACATTATTTTTTTGTCACAATTTATTTTTTTCATTGCTATCGTATCGTTTATTTGTCACGCACCAACCAATCTATTTTTTACAATCGGTCACATATTGTTTATTGGTTACAAACCAACCAATTTACTGGTCACAATCAACAAAACAATTTGTGACCACCACATCTGCCAACAGTAGCACGACCACCAATGCCGCATGTACCACCACCATCTCATCAAATCCAATACTGTCAACGCAACCACCTCCGCCAACAGTAGCATAACCACCAATGTCGCATGTACCATCACCATTACCACTGTCTCCTCAAAGTTATTACTGTCAACGCCACCATCGTCGCGACCACCACAACCACCATCTACACTCTTCACCACCATCTCCACCACACCACACCACACCACACCACCAACGAAAAAAATCTCCAAACCTACCATCATTGCTGCTGCCACCACTACCACCAATAGTCACCATAATCACCACTAATCCACTGCCACCACCATCTCCTTCACAGCCGCCACCACCAATTAATCGATCACAATAACCACCATATATGAACGTCTTCGCTCGCCATAGGCACAGCCACCGCCAATACAAACACCAAACCCACCCCCACTACTTACTGCCAGAAGAAGAAGCCACAGCGGCGCTTGACAATCCACGCGGCAGCGGCAATCTGGCTGCACATGACGGCACTCAGTTCACCGCCAATGCCGCTTTCGTCGATGAAGAGGAAGAGAGAGTGAGAAGAGAGAAGACGGTAGAGAAGAGAGATTGAGGAGAGGAGATGGAGACCGCCACGCCACCGCCAAAACAAACACCAAACCCATCGCCCACTGCCAGAAGAAGAAGCCACAGTGGTGAGAGAAGAGAGAGTGAGGAGAGAAGAGGGGAGACCGAGAGAAGAGAGGAGAAAGAAAATTGGATTGTGACGAAATTGATTAGGATTCGGGATGAAATGTCTTATTTTTGAAAAGTGAAACTTGTATCTGAAATTTGAAGTTGAATCTTGAAAATTCTGGTTTTGTGTAATTTTCACTTTATTTATTTTTTGAAAAATAAGTTTTGGAATATTATTTTTTTTAGATAATGTGTAGTTAAAAAATAAAAAAAATTAAATTTACATGAAAAATATTTTATAGTCAAAATATATGTTTAAGAATGAGTTTTTAAAAAAAAAAAAATTTTTTTGAAGAATGATAGACAAACAGTGGCATGTATCCATTCTATGAGATAAAATTTTGAATTTAAGTGGGAATATGGGAATTAATGCAATTGTCCAAATTAAATATATTCACACCACAATTTTTAATAATTAAACTACATTTCAATTGTACGAAAGATTTATGACCTTTACATGTTTTCACATTTATGTCTCACATTTTTTATCATATTTTTATTCTCAAATTAACATATATTGTACTTGCTTATAGTTTCTCTCCAAAATTTTCTTTAATATAAAGTGAAAAAAACTCATTTTCCTATTATACTTTTGAATAAGCAAAATAAATAATGTGATAAAAGTGTAATTAAATATTTGACCCTCGATATAATGCACATGAACAATATTTTTGAACAAAAATCATGATTAAGGATAAGAATTCTGGTTAATAAAATGTTAAAAATAAGAATGTAATAAAAAAAAGTAAAGATATAAATGTGATAATAAATAAAACTTAATAATCTTAATATAATTAAAATGTACCGTATTTTTTTAAAAAAAAAGTGGAGTGGATAATGTCCCATTGACCAATTGTTGTAGTTCTGTTTTTTTGACGTTACCCTCATTAATTATATGAAAAGGACTAGAGAGTTGGCCAAATATTTAACTAATTTTAATTTTGTTGATTAGTTTTATTGAGGTCCGGTTTGAAAACGGACAGTTGGAACAGTCGATATAAACATTATTTCGGGTTTGCAATAATGGAGGAAAATAATTTATAAGAATTTTTTGCTCTAAGTTAATTAGGAATATTTCTATGGGAAAACCCCTCAAAAATAATTGTAATAATTGAGAAACCCGTTATTGAAGACCATTATTGTGATTATTTGGAATCCCATTTCTAGTCTCTACGGTTGAAATTATTATAATGTTTCTCCGTACAATGAAATTGAAAATTATTTAAAAATATATTTTGAAATAGTAATTTTTTTAGAGAATATGTATTTAAAAAATAAATTTTTTTTTGAATTTATATATAATATTATTTTATTAAAAAATATGTGATTGAAAATAAGAAAGAAAAATATATTTTTTCTTAATGCTACTCATATAGAGTTTAGAAAAGGGAGCTGTGACTGGTGATACGTTGACAACACCGTATGAGTGCTTTTTTAACTGTTCAATAATGTTGCACCACGTGTTTTCTTATTTTTTAAACATGTCATTGAGCATGTCATTATAGTAAAACTCGTCATTCTTATATGAAATATTCTTGATGTACATAATATATAGGATCATTCTTGTGGTACATCAGGGTGTCCATAATAGATATTCGATGCCCTCCCATTGGTGGAGGCGCTCGCCGGGTGTCCATTATGGACACCTTGATGTACATGATAATGTACGTCAAGAATTACTCTAATATATATGGGTCTCACCCCATGTGAAGGGTATGGACATCCTTATGTACATATATTATTTACATAAATCACATCCCATCTTATATTAGTAGGCAGATGGATAGATGTCTATGACAAATTCTCTATCTATTGCACGGTTGGTTGGCTCTATGACGTACTGCAACTGCAA